AAGCGGCATGGCGTTTATGTGCAGTTATACCTCGATATACGATAGGCGCGGCCACAGGGTCCGATGTGAACACCGTTTGTGGCTTAACTTTGACCCTGCCCTACCTGATAGGTGCTGATTCAGTGTGATAATCATCAGATGGTGTAGCCCTCGTTCTTGTTGTTGTTGTTATCGTTTACTGCGTGGTAAATGCGGTATCCAAATGATGTAGCTTGTTCAAGTTTTGTATTTCCTATGTATCGTGAACAATTTAGAAAATTAATTCTCTTCAAGCAATATGAAACAATTTAGTACACCAAATTTAGAAGCAATTTTTAAAGTCGGGTTCAAGCTCAGAAAAAATTGCACTTCTGCACGACCGGAAAGAATTACATATTCAAAATTCAAAATGAATTTTCAATTCATATATTACATATGAGACGAGACGAGTCGAAAACATTTCAAGAAAGTGGCAAAGGACTAAAAACATAAAAATAAAATTTAAACATTCTGAAAAAGCAAATTTTGTCGGATGGCTAAACACATACTGACCACTTCTCCAGTTCATTTTCATACTCTAAGAGTCTATTTTTTTGATATATCTGGTTCAATTCAGTTTCGATAATCAATTTAAGGCGATTTCATTTATCGCTGCAGGCATGTTTATCTCAGGTTCGCCCCTCAACTTCCCATCGTGCTTCATATAAGTTCTCTGGTAGATGCTGATGTCGTTCAAGACGTGCGGCAGCATATCAAAAAGGATGCCGCGTCGATTTCGTCGCAGGTAGTCAGTGTCAGGAAGATCTTCTTCTGTTAGCAGCTTCAAGTCGTACTTTTCGTGTGGTCCATTTTTTAGCCAAGGTCTACGTTGACGATTACCATCAGAACGGTGGTCAGTCAAAGCGGCCCCTGTGTGTGCTGAAGTGTCTGAAGTGTGGGGCTCACTAAGTCTTGTTCCGCTTCTGAAGCTGCTGCCGTGTATCAGGAGCAATCGGAGATTTCCTTTCACTTGGTTGGTTTCTTTCAAATTGTTATGATGTTGCTTCAGTAGCGACCGCTCTGATGGAGCCTCGTTTCTTTTCTGTCTGAACAGTACTTTCGTCGGAGCCGTCAGGTCATGTTTTTTATTAACACTGCCTTCATTTTTGGCCGAGCGTTCTTCTGCTGCAGACTTCTTCATGTCACTGGTCATCGCCTTCCTTCCCCCATGGTACCTTCCGCCAAACTTTAGCAGCGTGCGGTGGTAGCCGGTGATATCCAACAGTTGTTTAGGATAATACCTGTCGACCGCTGGCAAATACATCGATGAATGGCGCTTGTTGCGTGGGCGATAGTCTTCAGCTACGATCAAATCGTTGTGTTCATCTGTAATATCCGATATACGATGTCTGCGACGGTCGTTTGCAAACTTTCGATGGTCGCCATGCATTTGAAACCGTACATGCCTGGCCGGCGGAATTGGCTCGTATTGCTCGGAGCCGTCAGTGACGCCTCGGACGTGCTTTGAATATGGGTGTAAAATGACAACGCTATAACGAGGAAAGTCAAATTTTTCGGACTCCGACGATCTTGGTAATCGTTGTTGGAAGTCATTGATCCCGACACTTTTACGCTGTAGCGCCAACAAAGCGATGGCCAAGACCACTATGCGTCCCCTCATTTCCTGAAACCGAGCGACATCTGAAACAAACTGCAGAAATGCTTTCATAAGTTATCACTTACCTGGTTGCTTTCGCCGTTGAGAGCAGTAATGCGACTAACACGACTAACTTACCATGGCAAGTAGTATAATGGCCATTGAACTACAATTTGCATATTTTGAGCACACTCTTAATAGTTTTGGTCAGAGGGGCATTCGAATCGGTTTTATATCGGCACACTGAATGGTGACCGTATCAGGCTATGTGAGGCTGACGTTTATAATAGTCTGATGCCAGGAACCAGTGCCGCTGGCCAACGTCTGGCATTCTCTATTGATAAGTATACATGTCAGTCGGTGATGTTGAGTAGAAATCTCTCGATTGTCTTTTTCTACGCTGCGAGACTTCGGCAGATGGTAGTAGTAGTTGACTGACATCGACAGAGATACATGCTGCGCAGTAAGTTGCAGAAGTAATAAAAGTCACATGGGCGCACGTGATGCTCATCAACAAGAAAAGTGAGAAGCTGAATTCCTTCTGGGCGATTTGAGTTTTCTCGGGCATGCGCTACATAGGTCCTCGGTAGAGGGCTTCCGAGTTTTAAGATCCGTTTTGTTCAGGTAAATTTCTCACTAGCAGTCTGGAGGATTATTTGTTTTAGGCTGGCTAGTAGACTTCTTTCGCTCTCAATAAAGACCGACGTTTAAGCGATTGTCATGAAAAAACCGACTCCTTTAGAACTCGTCATTGAAAAAAATGATATAATACGGACTTCCTAACTGTTGTTCAATATTGAATTTCTAAACAAAACAAAAAATGGTTTTGTCGTTAAATCGTCTTTATCAAATAATCAGCCTCTCTCGGGCCACTGTTGGATAGTGATTCCTCCAGTTCTTTTTTGGACTCGGTTGGTCAGTGACTTCGCAAAGATTTTGCACATGAG